AGAAACTTAGAACTGCATTAGAAAAATAAGTGCTAACAAAATTTGAGGCATATGATCAAAAAGGTTCTGAGAGGGAATATATAGCCTGGAATGTTCATATTAGGGAACAAAAACTAAAAATTAATGAGCACTTATATCTGCCTTAAGAATCTTTTTTAAGGTATTTACTTTAAAAGAGAGAGAGAGAGAGAGCACCAGAGGGAGGGGCAGAGGGAGAGGGAGAGGGAGAGAGAATCTCAAGCAGACTCCATACTGAGCTCAGAGCCCTATGCGGGGCTTGAGCTCACGACCCTGAGATCAAGACCTGAGCCAAAACCGAGAGTCGGTCACTTAATCCACCGCGCCACCCAGGCACCCCTTTACCTTAAGAATTTAAAAAGGAAATAAAGTCAAACATAAAACATGATAAATACAAAGCTTTACTTTGTGAAAGAGAAAAAAGAAAGCTATAGTACAACGCATCAACAAAGCCAGAAATCAGTAATTCGAAATAAATAATAACCACAAAGACCTCTGTAAAATTGGTCAAGGAAGAGGTATTAAGAAGGAGAGAGGGGCTACAGCCACAGATGAAACAGAGACCTAGGAGCATGTGCATGACACTCTGGAGGAGGCGTTAGGTTATGCCTGACTTCTGGGATCCTGAGGGACAGCCATTTCACCCCAGGCTCCGGAGCCAGACCACGAAGGAAGCCAATACGTGAGTGCGGACAGATCTTGAGCTTGCTGCTCTCAGCTTCCTCATCTCTAAGATGAGCACAGTGAGGGCACCTATTGCACTGGATTCTTTGAAGGTTACGTGTGCAGATGGAGAGCACCTGGAAGAACACCGGCCACACAATGAGCACCAGTAACTCAGAGCTATTCTTATGATTCTTACTATTAAATCACTAGGGATATAGCTTTCATTAGCTAGAAACTTCGAGGGACCGCTCTCACTCCCTAACACTAGACCTCAGAGGTCTATGAGGCACAGTGGAAAATGTACCAAAGATCCAGGGACCACCTCCCTAAATAAACAAAAGGAGAAATGAGCAGATGATGGAGAGCCTGGAGAGGCAGGGGAGGGTGGCGATGGGCCAGGTGGAAGCCCTGAGTTCTGTAGGTGGGAATGCTCAAGGAGACAGAGAAGTCGATATAGAAGGACATGGGCCGGGAGTTCCAGAAGAAGAAATGAGAATTCAGAAGAATGGCAATATCGTCAAAGGTCATGGCTATGAACCTTCTAGAGTGGATGAAAAAATATAAATCCATAGGTGTAAGAAGTACCACATATTCCAAGCAGAATAAATAAAAAGAAATTCTAGGGATATGTTATAGGTGGAACTGTGTTCCCCCAAAATTCCTGTATTGATGTACTAACCCTCAGTGCCTCAGAAGGCGACCTCATCTGGAAATAGGGTCTTTGTAGACAAAGTAAGTTGGGATGAGGTCACACTAGAGTAGGGTGGGCCCTGATCTCATATGAATGGTGAAAGGGGTATTGATATGTGCGGCTTACCCTCTAGGGGGTCAGAAAATGTGATTGTCTATATATATATATATATATATATACATACACACATATATATATAATATGTACATGTATGCATGTGTACACACAGAGAGAGAATGATAAAGCAAATATGGCAAAAAGTGAAAAACTGAGTCTGGGTAAAGGGCATACAGGAGTCCGGAAGTCTGAAATTACATTAAAATAAACTATAATCTTTCTTAATTTTGAACAAAAAATAACCGAACGGAACAGCACAGCTGAAGTCTGCACTAATGGACAGATGCAGAACGTGATGCCCAGCAGTTAGAGAAGGTCCCTTCTCTGCAGCTCACCAGGAGCAGGGCACGGAATATGTTGGTATTGAAGAGAAACTGGACCCATGAAGACCGTGTTTTCTGAATATGGTACATACACCTTCCACTGACAGGAGGAAGTTAAATCAACAAACTTGAAACAGAAGGGGAAAGGACAGATTGACTTCCGGTATCACACCAGCCGGACAGAACTGGGTTGTCGTGCCCGTGGTGCATGGTGACCCACTCCTGTACCACCCCTACAGAACAGGACACTCCTTTGGCCCTGGAGGCTGCCCTGCCCACTGCTGGGGATTCACAGGCAGCACCCACCATACTTGACACACCTGACCTGGGGGTGTTAATCCCACTTCCTTTGGAGAGAAAGTGCAACCAACCACCTGGTCCTGAGAAAAGGAGACTCGGGTGTGAACGGAGGTCATTTGCATGCTAGTGGCTTAACAGGATGGCTCATGCTGAAGGTGGTTTTGATTCTGTGGGTTACAGATTTGGAGAAATGGACCCCACCCCTCATGTGGGGAAGTCTTGGTTTTATTAAACTTCAGTTTGTTTGGTTTGAAAAGCAGAGGACAGTAGTGACCCAACCCAAACGAATCCGTAAAGAAAAACAACACTGTGTGGCACCTGACCGGCAGGAAACACATTTGTGGTTTAAAGACATGAGAGCAAAGCAACAAGCCTTTGGAATGAAAGGAAGAGCCCCCCTCTTGTGCATGAAACAAGGAAGCTGATCTTTAAACGGAGACAGCTGGTGGCTGTTCGCAAACTCGACCCTTGTCCTGGCCACTGCTGGGGGCACTTTTGGAATTTCACCCTCTCTCCAGACTTGCCTATCAGGCCAAAGGCAATTTCAAAACTATTTACAGGGGTCAGGGAGGATATTTAGCAATGCTGCATAGGAAGTGTGCAGCCCAGCATGGGATCCATTTTCAAACTGGCCCCAGATCAGGAAGCGACATTTTTTTCCTGTGCAAAGAAAAGCCAGATTTAACCATTCTTGCTGCTGGAAGCGGCAGGAAACAACACAAAAATACAAAACCCAAAGGGAAGAGTGCTTTTCACAAATGCAGACAGCCAGGTAGAGAATGTCGGAGGCTGGGAGCAGAGATAAAGCTGCAGAGCCAAAAAGACAGAAAGCCACCCCAAAGTTCATGGGAAATCAGCTGCAAGGAATTTTCACACAGCAGACTGGAGTTGGCAGATCTCCTTGGCATTCTGATGAACGTGCTAACTCACTTAAAATGTAAACCCTCAGCCACTGCGGAGGCTGGAAGAGAAGGTTAGCACTTGGAGTGCAGACCTAGCAGCAAGGAAGGGGCTCTGCGTGATAATCGATGATGAAACGCAGACAAAGATGTCAGCCTGCCTGGGGTCACTCAGCGAGGAGTCGACGGCGGGCCGACTGTGGTCCCCAGGTCAGCACCCTTGAAATGATCTCCTACGAACAGTACCCCTGTCGGGTTGACTATACACCCCCTACCCAACGTCACTCCGGTGAAGAGAACAGTGACTCCCTTGGCATTGAGGCGTTTTGTTTTGTTTTGTTTTGCAATGATGGTTAGACTTCTTAAAGTAGAGGAAGAAAACCAAAGACTGAAATCCAGATCCAAATACTCATTTTGTAGGGGCGCCTGGGCAACTCAGTCGGTTAAGCGTCTGCCTTGGGCTCGGGTCATGATCCCGGGGTCCTGGGATCGAGTCCCGCATCGGGCTCCCTGCTCAGTGGGGAGTCTGCTTCTCCCTCTCCCTGCGCCGCTCCCCCTGCTCATGCGCGCCGTCTCTCTGCCTGCCGCTCTGCCCACTACTCCCCCTGCTTGTGCTCTCTTCCTCTCTCTCTCTGTCAGATGAATAAATAAATAAAATATTTTTTAAAAAATACTCATTTTCTAGAACATTCTTTCAACCTACTTTATAAATAAGACTTGTGTAAAAACTATAAGCACTGTGTAGTTAAACTGAATGACTCCATTTACTCATTACAACATGTTACAAAAAACAAAAACAAAACCTTACGGCCTTCTGCATGGCAAGCATCCTCGGTGCTAATGTCACTGGCCGAAGAGCTGCCAATAAGTGGGTTTTCCAAGGCAGTGGCTGTGAATGTCAGTGAGTGTGCTGCAACCCAGTCTCAGGATGACATCTGTGAAAACGTCCAATTTTCTGATCGAAACTCCACCCTTTGTGCGCACAGCCCACAGCCTGGAAGGCCTGCAGAGGGGCAGCCCCGGCGAAGGCCAGCTTGGCGAGAAGGAGACTGGCAGCCAGGCCCTCCTGCACACGGCAGCTCTGGGAGGTACTCAGCTCAGGCGTCAGGAGGTGGCCTGCTCGCGGCAGTAGGCCAGCCCAAGTACACAGGCTTTTGGAGAATTACAAAGCTCAGCCAGGATCAGGGCTCTGTCTGTTTCAACCAAGAGGGCAGCAACTGGGGAAGAGGGAATGCTTCCTATCTCACACGCACACAGTGGTGGTGACCACGGCGGACACAGAGACACTGGGAATACCACCTACTTTCATATGCACTCTCCTAAAATTGACTCCGGAGGCAAAATTCGCATTCGGATTCTGGTGGGGGGCAGTGGCGATGCTGGGGGGAATGCTACAGCAGAGTACCCTCTAAATGGGAGAATCGCCAACTAGGGTGCCCCATTTAGAGAGCGGGTTCTCGCAGGGCATGAAAATCACTCATATGAAAAAAGAGGGACTCAGCACAATGAGAGATAAAATTAAACTGTTAGAAGATGAAGCAAATTCACAAAACCAAAAATCTCAAATTTTAACGAGAACATGGAATTCTTAGTACTTGAGAAAGAATTCGACAGCTTTGGAGAAAAAGCAGCTTTAAAGCTAAGTGTGGAATGCCATTCGTCCGGCATTTTGCTCATCGTGTTCAGCCATCCAGCGCAGACAGTGAACGCACAAACCTAGAGACCGAGTTCTGATGGCATTTCCTTGGGCATTCAGTGCATTTATAGCCCCACACCTGAGCAGTGGGTTCAGAGCTACTTGATAAGAATCCAAAACAAATGCATCCTTGGGTTTTCACTAAGTAATTTAAACCCCGAATTATCTGGACAATTGCTGCCATGGAGAATTTGCATAAAAGGCTCCAATGTCTGGTAAATCTAATGTTCGCACATAGAGTGGCTACGCCTCGTATTCACTCAGTCGGCATGTAACCACGCACCACCCACCTGTCTGCTTGTCAGGAAACCGCACGATGTCCAAACCGCTGGGATAGGTTGTGCGCATTATCTGAGCGTCTGCATAATAGTAAACCTGTAAGCACCAGAAACACCCATGTTGGGATGCTGTTTGTGTTATCATTTTGAACCTGGATTTAACCTAGTGAAGTACTTCCTGCAGGTGGGAGAGGCCTGCCCTGTCCACAGGAAGATCCTGGGGCCGGTCATTAGTCTGAGAGGTTACTTACTGTGGGGAGGCCCTGTCCTTCACCTGGGTAGGCTCTGAAACCCAAAGCCCGCCCAGCCTCACAGTCCTGGGGCACCTGCAGCCTACCCAGGCCCTGTGATTTCACGACGGGCATGGTGAGCACAAGCCATGGGCTCCACAACCACGAACCGCCCAGCTCACACCAAGTGTCCACCAGCAGCTCGAGATAACACAGACAAGCTCCTGCATCCTTCAGACACTCACGAAGCCCTGCCTCTGGACCTGGTCACCGGATCGTCAAGTTTCAAATCAGTGTGACCCCTTCGGTCTCCAACGAAGTAGAGAAGGAGTGTGGGAAGGAGCAGTTGTGGACAAGGGTGGTTATGGGGAAGGAGGACGCGTTCCTCTTGGCTAAGCTGAGCAGCCCTGAACAGTACAGGTGGGGGGAGACTTTAAACAGAAGGGCAAGGAGACAAAAATCTTTCATGCTAATGTTTTCAAAGTGAGAACTTGGAAGGCAGACATTTCACTCAACTCCTAGTTTGGAGGGCGTGGCCCCGGTCACCTCATATGGGTCACCTACAAGGACAACGCCACCTGCCTATCAGGAAAGGAGGCACAGTGACCACATGCGGGGACGTGTCTGATAAAGCACCGCGCTGAGGGCCGAGGGACTGGCCCACCCTCTTGTTCCAGAGGCTTTCTTCCTGTGTGCATAATTTGTCCAAAAGTGAGACACAATGGAGAGTGCTTATTTCTCTATCATTAGAGCGATTTTAGGTGCAACCCCAGGCCCGGGGCTCAGTTTTCCCTCGAGACCAAAGAGCCCGCGGTGGAGAAGAACACGGCCCACTCACTCAGCAGGAGCCCCACCTCACCACGCTTCCGCAAGCCACCGTGATTGCCCTGGGACCGTGCCAAGGACCAAGATGCGGAGCCTTCCCTTCCAAGGACAGCAGTGGGGCTCTGGCTAAGAAACAACTTCAGGAGACTCCGGGCTCAGAATCTAAAGTACTGAAGTAGGCGATGAGCTCAGTATGACTCAATTGGATGGTGACATAATAACAGTCCACTGTGTACATGGGGTCTTCTGGACTCTCTGTGTTTCTGCTGCCTTGCAGACAAGGGCGCATGGGGTTTTACCTGGGGCCAGTGATGCGGGGGCTGCATCTGCACCAGGATTCTAACAGCTGCCCTCACAAGTGGGTCATTCAGAACCCCCAGGGACCTGAACCTCTGAATTCTCATCCCAAAGCTTGGTAAAACAAAACAAAACCACAAACAAAACAATGAAGTTGATTATTCTAAAAAAGGACTTTTTTAAAGAAATGAGTACAGTTTGTAAAGAATACAATTTGGTAATGTTTCTGCACTAAAAAGACTATTATCAATCTACTAAAAGCTATCCTATCTCCAGGGCTCATTTTCAATGATTCTTTGTAAATCAACCAAATTTTCAGAATCACGTTAAATCCTGAATTATCCGGACTACTCCTCTCCAGCAGTCGTGCCTGTAAATGCTCCAAATGTTGCAGCATCTATTTTGCCCGTATCTAACAGCCTAACGTCACGCGGACACGCAGCATGTCCTGGGGTCACAAACGCGTCCGGACCCCCCAGCATCCAGGGGCCCTCTGTCCACCGTCCTGTGGGGCTCACATTCACACCTGTACCGCCTGCCCTCAGCAGTTACCGCCAGAGACTTGACCGCTCTCAGTTACTGAGTACTTCATACGTACGGAGCAATACTGAGTGCTCTAAATGTAGTCCCTGTGATGAACTCTGGGGGGTTTTCCCCGCCTCAACATAATTGACAATTTGGACCCCATTGTTCTTTGTTATGGGGGGCATCCTACGCAGCCCTGGCCTCCGCCAACTAGATGGCGGTAGCACCCCTACCACAGCCGGCTGTGACCATCCAAAATTCTCCCGACATTGCAGATGGTCCAGGGGGGCAAAATTGCCCCCAGCTGAGAATCACGAACCTGTAAAATAGCCCTGGCCTGTCTCCCTGTCTCACCACCAGTGCTGGGCAAGCAGGAAGCATGCGCCACAGGCATCTGGGACCTGGTCGACTCCCAGGGACCACGTGTACAAACAGGAGCAAATGAACTAAGCTCATAAAGCCTCAGTTTCTGCATCTGAAGAACCAGGAAATAGCTATTTCCCACTGGGCTGTGAAAGTCCCCCGACAGGAAAGAAAGCCACGTCTCCTTCCATCTGATCCATCCGATCCCCAGCTTGCACTAGGGACGAGCTCCTGACTGACTAGGTTTTGATGCTACTGCTCATCCTATAATTAATGCACAGTTACTGAGGGTTTACTGTGCGTCCCTAGAGATTGCGGAGGCTGGGCGTAACGTACGCTGTGTGCATTAGTCTCTGCACCATCTTTGAGTTAGGTCCCAACCCTAGTCTTGCATTACAGAGGCTTAGCGAGGCTAATGGTCTCTAAACGGTTGAGCGAGCATTCTCATTCAGCAGGGTGCGAGCTCTTGTTCTCACTGTAACATGGAAATCGGGGGCTCCGTCGATTACGAATCTCACTGCCCAAGTGCATCTAGTAACCAAAACCGCCCAACTGGCCAGAGGCCCTCATCCTTGAGCCCCCAGGGGAAGAAGGGCCCAGATGGACAAAAATCTTCCCAATAGCTGGATTGGTCTTGATTAAAAAAAAAAAAAAAAAGGCAAGTGTGGAGGCTGTACTCACCACTCTCCGATCTGGCAGGATCTTCTTCATGTCCCCGTTTAAAAACCGCAGGATGGTGGTCTTCTTGCCGGCCCCCCTGTCCTTGCCGGTGCCCTTCGAAAAGGTGATGGCTTCACGGCCGTCACCAAGTGCCTGAGCCACCTTCATGGAAACACAAAAGTTCCGACGTGAAAGATGACTTAAAGCGTGCTTCTCATGGTTTCATTATTCTTCCTCCATTCAGAATCCTTCTGTCTATTGCCTGCACAGCACCGTTGGAAGCAAGTGTTGTATCTCCAGAAATATTCACTAAATCAGTCAGCCCCAAACCTCACCTCATCCCTGAATCTCATTGTGAATAATGGATGTTTTATGATTTGCCCTCAAACGTCTGTTTCTCTTAAGCTCATGTTTTGCAAACCTTCGTATGTTATCAAGTTATTAGTTGTGAGTCTAGATAATCCAATGTCATTGAATTTGGTGAGTTTGGGAATCCTGGACTATATAAACTGCAGTCATTACTATATAAAAATTACTATTTGTACACTTTTCTTTCCTTTACATCCTTTTGTTTTGATTCCCATTACCACTCACCCTGACCTGAAGATTCACTGATTTCCATTAACTGTCGGCAAAACAGTGTGTACGTTCAGAGGCATAATGCTGAACTTAGGAGTTTTGAAAATATTATTCATGTAAATATTAGCAGAAAGGAAAAAAACTGACAGAAGGAAGCTCAAGCTCTGGGGAGTTAATATCTGTACACCTGAAAAATCCAAATGGTAAAATGTGCTGTTATTAATTACCATGTGACCTTGTTACTCTTGACCCTCGCTCAGGAATGCAGGAGTTAATTCAACTGAGAAAAGATGAAGGAACTAGTAGCTAAAGCCGGGCTTCTCAAAGCCACTTTGGCGATCCATCAAGCAAAAGTCAACGGTGTATACCACCCGCTCATGATGCAACAACCATCAGTTTGGGGTTTGAACCAAGACCCCGTTTGCCCCAGTCCCAAACCAACCAGATAAGTGAAGCGAGGTTGTGTTCAATTCAGTCCTAGAAGATTAACTGCTTAACCCACAATAAAAACTCTGATGAGGTTTGAAGACACAATTACTTCTCAGAAATGAAAAAGCACAAGTGATGTTTTAAATGGTCCACATTAAGGGGCGCCTGGGTGGCTCAGTCGGTTAGTGCCCAACTCTTGATTTCGGCTCAGGTCGTGATCTCAGGGTCGTGAGATTGAGCCCCACGTTGGGCTCCACACGGAGCATGGAGCCTGCTCAAGATTCTCCCTCTGCCCCTCGCCCCTCAAATCAATAAATCAATAAATCTTTAAAAAGATGGCTATGAAGCCAGGCTCTGTCTTGCGAGTGATGCTGCCGCTGTGTCCCCGAGTGCATAGGAGACACCAGGTGCTCTGCCTGCAACACGCACCTTCTGCGCGGCTTCCTGAGAGAGCCACCACCCGGGGTGCACCCTTCAGGACCCGAGGGCTCCTCGAAAGCTAAAATGTGGAGGCCGGGACAGACCTAAGGCAGTAAGAGGCAAATCGGGTTTAAAACATGTTTTTCCTGTTGGGACGTGTGTGGCTTTATCTACTAGAAATAACTGGCAGCCAAGGACGCTACATTTGTCCCCTCCCAGGGCTGCTTGCCTGGCCCCTGGGTCCGAGCCCGCGGGCACCTGCACAGAGCACAGGTGCAAATCACACAGGAGCCCAGCCTAGGAAACAGGGGCATCTGCCTACCTCACCGGCCGGGGTCCGCGTTTCTTCTTCTTTGTCCCCCTGCTTTATCTCGGGGTCCATGTGGGAAGGTCCTGGATCTACAGGAGGATTCTGCAGGAAAAGAACAACCCTGGTCCCACGAGGTCTCCATGCAATCTGCGGCCCTGGGCTGGAGGAAGCTGGTCACCCCAACATCCCACAGCCCTGCCCAATGGGTCCACGCAGGGCGGCAATGGGCGCACGTCGGGCCGCACTGCATGTCCCTGTGACGGTTTATGTCCCCCGCCTCCTCGTTAGTCAGACCTAGGCCAGGATGCTCGTGGGGACAACAGTGCGCCTCACGAAGTCGTGCGCTGGTAGGGAAAGCACCCCGAGAGCTTGCACACTCACGTTCTGAGACACTGAGGTAGGGGGTGCGTTCAGTAGCCACGACCGCCCAATTCCAAATAAAACAAAGCCCAGAGGAAAATGTTACCACTCAGCACCCCACGCATAATGTTGGAAAGGGCAAAACAGATCCGGGCTTCTCTTGGGAGAACGCGAGATACATAGGACCTGTATTTTCACATTTTCCCACTGGTTGCCTACTTTTACATCATAAATAAGTTTACATCCCAGATTTTCTCCCATGGAGAAAATTATTTCATTTCTTTGATATTTGTTATTAAATATAACACATAATAAGTGGACCACTAGCTAGGGCTTAAAAGTATTTTTGCTATATGTGCCTTTGGTTCTATTAATTTTAATGAAACATTATAAATAAAAATGATATAAAAGTTTGATTTGGGAACTCTTCAGTAATATAAAAGTATCAATCTTGTTTTGACTAAGTACTAAATGCAACTTCAGAATCTAGGGGGAAAATGTTGCTTCTTATTGGGAAGGCTGACCATCCCCAGAAAGTAGGGGCATTTGGAAGCAGGTTAGTGCTCTGTTCTTCCCAAGGAGATGGGCGGGCACGAGAGTCTCAGTCCTAGGAGGCTGCTGCAGGCCTCAACCCCACCCACCTGTGGCTTGGCAGTGCCCAGCAGGGAGTGGGCAGACCCATCAGTCTGCTCTGGGTTGAGAAGCCTGCCCTCAGGACCCATGCAAGGCTGTGAACGCATGCCTGAAAAAGCAAAGAAATTGAGTTTTAAAGGACAGCGTACACACATCTTAAAAATTCTATTATCCTAATGCAATTTCTTTTTTTTATTTTTCTAAAGATTTTGTTTATTTTTTTGATAGATAGAGACACAGAGAGAGAGGGAACACAAGCGGGGGGAGTGGGAGAGGGAGAAGCAGGCTTCCCGCCGAGCAGGGAGCCCGATGTGGGGCTTGATCCCAGGACCCCGGGATCATGATCTGAGCCAAAGGCAGATGCTTAACAACTGAGCCACCCAGGCGCCTCTCCTAACGCAATTTCTAAGTCCGATTTAAACCAACAGTGAACACTTTCTCTTTTTTCATGAGATTACTTTACAAATAGAGGGTCAGTCACCCAAATATAGGGTCGGTCAGCAACAAGTGACATTTGATCTTGTAAGAAACATGAACTATCCGATGAATATATTCAATAAATATTTACTGGATGTCACTCTATTTCAAGTGTTAAGTTCAGGAGATGAAGATGGGAAGATGCTGTCTCTGCCTTTCAGCTGCTTCTGGCCCGGAGAGGAACTGGAGACCTTATCTGCATGATAATGGGTTTGCTGGGCGGCAGAGTCTTGGTAGGGGGGCTGCCATCTGCCTCCAGGAGTCCCAGAAAGCAGCATCAAGAAGGTGCAGGCAGGCGAGCCTGCCCAAGAGAAAAGGCAAAGGCTGATGCCAACCCTCTGGGAACCAGCTCGGGGTGGGCGTTCACTGGGGTTTGGGGAGTGTTGGCAAAGACACACAGACGAGGACCCAGCAAGGGAATCAGAAAAGACACTCAAAAAGGAGGACGCTGAGTGCACTTGCCATGGTAAGCTTCTGGGTGGGCACAGGTAATAGAAGCTCACACCTTCAAGCAAGCAGCAAATAGGAAGGAAACTCCCCGTGAGGTGCTCACCATTTTCCTCAGCTGCTGGGCGGTCCTCCTTGAGCCTGACAACACCCGCGGCGGGCTCTGGCGGGTTTAGGCTACTCGGTTCTTGCAGTCTTCGGGAGGACCGGCGTGTGGCCTGGAGCAACGACAGTCACAAAACCTCAGCCTGTGACTTCAGATCAAAAGCTGCATGCTGCACAAAGCCATTATCAACTGTCAACGTTTCCCAGCAACATCCCAGGACTAGAGCAAAAGCACTGCGTTCGGCACCACCAGGTAAGTCACTTTTCTCAAATGCAGAAATACACAGAACATGGCAGAGCAAACGGCCATCAGCTCAATTAGTTTGCTTCTCTAGCATTAAGACTAATCGAAAGAAACCCCTTTAATCTATGGCCATACAGTTACTGTAAATAAACGAAACTATTTTGAGTCACAGATTGAGTGTTCTTGTCAGATCTAAGTGGAATGTTCCTGAAATGCAAAGGGTACAGATAGCGCCAGTATGAATTAGCACGGTTGTCTCAGTGTCACCTGTCCACCCACAAACGCAGCTGGGCTCTCCTCAGAGGGCATGCCCTTGAAGGGAGGCATTGCACCTCTGTCCTGAAGACTTCCAGAAAGAGTTTCATCTCCATCTTCACATGATCTTGTTTCCCCTGACTCGGTTCTTTCTATCTTCATCCTCACTGGCTGGAAACAAATGTGGGGTGCTTTCACATTAACAACAGCCACTTTACCCAAAAGTATCAGTAAACACATCGTGCTGGCTATGACAGAAGCTGGGTCAGTACAGCTGTGTTCTGACATCCTACAAAGCAGAAGGATGTCCCATTGGGGGTGTCCCATTTCTCACTTGGAAGCCCATGCTCTTGTGGGATTTCAGGAAAGTTATGATTGATCCCGTAGAAAAGGTTGTCCATCACAACAAAATAAATAGCCCAAAACCAAATTTGAAAATGTATAAGAAGAATTTTTCTACCCTTTGCAGGATTCAAAAATTGATGGTTTTGAGATATGGCATAGCCAGGGTCGCATTCACTCATGCATTCACTTACGAAGCGATTATACTGCGTACATGTCACTAATTCAGGTCAATGTGGGAACAGAGGACAAGGTTGCATCTCAGAGGACAGGGGGTCATGCGGTTCATCCTGGGACTTCAGAATCTCTGCTCGCATGATCCAAAAAGTAGCTTTTCCCACTTGCAATAAATACTTGGGTTAGAGCAGATTCCAGACCCTCCTTCTAGGAGTGAAATACTGTCCGTTCAGCAGTCGCGTCGGGAAAGGATGTCAGGACATTAGGTCGTCTTGATGAGTTGGGGGTCTTCTCGGTCCACGTTAACCCTGTTACCCAATGCCGGTTGAGGACAGAGAGGGGCTTCCCAAGTATGAGGAAGATGCAAAGCTGGGGTGGTGACCAGCATGCTGGCTGCCAATATATGCTAAAGAGGAGCTCACCTGAACAAGGAAATGCCATAGAGATCAAACAACATCCTACACTGTGGCCCCAAAACAAAGCCATGTGGAAACAGCAAGACAAGCCACAGCAGTGACCCGAGCAAACACCACGGCTTTAAAGCCATGGGACACAAGAGCCAAAGGACATGAAAAGATGTGCTACTTAAAATCCCTGCCTCATCAAACTCAACACCCAAAAAAACAAAAAATCCAGTCAAGAAATGGGCAGAAGACATGAACAGACATTTCTCCAAAGAAGACATCCAGATGGCCAGCAGACACATGAAAAAATGTTCAACATCACTCATCAGCAGGAAAATGCAAATCAAAACCACAGTGAGATAACCCCTCACACCAGTCAGAATGGCTAAAATTAACAAGTCAGGAAATGAGAGATGTGGGTGAGGACGCAGAGAAAGGGGAACCCTCCTACACCGTTGGTGGGAATGCAAGCTGGTGCAGCCGCTCTGGAAAACAGTGTGGAGGTTCCTCAGAAAGTTAAAAATAGAACAACCCTACAGCCCAGCAAATGCACTACTGGGTATTTACCCCAAAGATACAAATGTAGCAGCAATGTCCACAATAGCCAAACTGGGGGAAGAGCCAAGATGTCCTTCAACAGATGAATGGATAAAGAAGAGGTGGCCCATATATACAGTGAAATACTACTCAGCCATCAGAAAATTGAAATCTTGCCATTTGCAATGACATGGATGGAACTAGAGGGTATGATGCTAAGCGAAATAAGTCAATCAGAGAAAGAGAATTATCATATGCTCTCACTCATGTGTGGAATTTAAGAAACAAAATAGATGAACGAACAAAGGGGAAGGGAAGGAAAAATAAAACAAGAAATCAGAGAGGGAGATAAACCATAAGAGGCTCTTAATCATAGGAAACAAACTGAGGGTCGCTGGAGGGGAGGCAGGTGGGGGGATGGGTAAACTGGGGGATGGGCATGAAGGAGGGCACATGATGTAATGAGCACAGGGTGTTGTATGCAACTGATGAATCACTAAATTCTACCTCTGAAACTAATAATAATAATAAAAAAAAATCCCTGCTTTAGGCTGCATGAATGGAAAGAAAGCACACAGCCCTGGGTGCCAGCCCTGACCTGAGCTCAGCTCCCTGCCAGACTCTCTGTGGTGAGTATGCTGAGGATACCACCTGCCAGACTGGACCCCTGAGTTCGCAAGGACTGGATCCCTGAGTTTGCAAGGTCTGGATCCTTGAGTTTGCAAGGATTAGAACCCTGTTTTGCAAGGACTGGATCCCTAAGTTTGCAAGGACTGGATCCCTAAGTTTGCAAGGACTGGATCCCTAAGTTTGCAAGGATTAAAACCCTGAGTTTTCAAGGCCTGGATCCCTGAGTTTGCAAGGTCTGGATCCCTGAGTTTGCAAGGCCTGGATCCCTGAGTTTGCAAGGTGTGGACCCCTAAGTTTGCAAGGATTAGAACCCTGAGTTTTCAAGGCCTGGATCCCTGAGTTTTCAAGGCCTGGATCCCTGAGTGTGCAAGGACTGGGTCCCTGAGTGTGCAAGGACTGGATCCCTGAGTGTGCGAGGACGGATAGTAAGGATTGCTCATTCGGAGAGAGGCAGGATTTCTCAGTGAGATGCTGGTGGGATACATGAGTTTGGGTGCTGGATCTCTGCTTCCTTTTAAAGGTCATAAACACTGAGGGTCACCTGGGAAGAAGGGAGATGTTTAGATGACTGTCCTTGTCCTATGACAGTAGCACTACGACTTCTGCGGCCTGCGTGTTTCACTAATATTTCTTCATCAGTTGACAGTGGTAACGTTTTCCCAAAAGCAGATTGCGACACCTAAAAGGCAATTTATCACAAAGAAAATTCAGAGGAAATGTCCATATCTTCGAAGTTACAGTAACTATAAGATAAATTCAAAGTGTAACCAGTCAACAACAATTGCAATGTGCTAGGAACAAATAGGGATCGCAGGCTGGCTTCTCCCCGCAACCTGTTGAGGATGCTCACAGCGCATCCCAAACGTGGGTTGATTCTCATGGTTGGTCACTATTTCAAAATACCCCAGGCTCCCAAAGGCAACAAAATAAATAACACCCACATTTATTTCCTTAGATTATGTGTCTGCAACTGGGAAAGTATTAAAGAAAGAAGAAAATGTGACCCTATTTTTAGTGTTGTCTCTCACAATTTATCAAAGATTTGAAATGCAAAATCTCAAGCTTGCCCGCTCTGAAGCAAACTGTGGAAACAGCGTGATCGTTGCAGTTGGGGTGCGGGACTTTGTTGTTCATCGCTCAGCCCTCGGGCGGGAGGACGGACCGTGGAGAGGGGAGAGGACTGGGACCGCCTTTCGTCCCGTGTGCAGAGCGGCTGATGCTCAGTCTTGCTCTCGTGTGTCTCTGGCTGTGTGATACCCTGTCCCTACAATGGCGTCCGCATGCCGAGGTGCCTGTGCGTACCTGACGTGAGGGTGTGTAGCCACCCCGTGTTCTTCAAATCTTGTGTACCCTTTTAGAGCAGATGCTATCCTTGTAAATAACGCCACCACCCTGTGACCAGCGCTGTGCGCAGAGTCAACGGATGATTGGAAATTCATCAGCACGTGAGCTCAGAATGAGTGTTGTGTGTGTGTGTGTGTGTGTGTGTGTGTGAACCATTGTGTCATAGCTGAAATATCCTAACTCCTTGAACTATAGACTTAAAAGTTCACACAATAAGTGCAGATAAGAATTATTAGGACTTTCCCGAATCCACTAGAACATAGCCCACTTAGATTTTGCCGAGATTTCATGGTTTCCTGTTGACCCCTGTGCACAAAGCTGTGCTGATCTGAGTTGCTCAGACGCACACACTCAGGACCTAGAGGCCAGATGAGGCGGCGGTGCCCCGGCCACAGCTTCTCCAGCACGGCCCCCCGGCCCTGCGGCCCGCCCCACAACGCAGACGTGGCAGCCAGTCGTCCTGCTGCTTGGTTCCTAAATACAGACTCTCTGAGGTGGGGCAGGGCGGTCGGATCTCGTCCCCACCCAGCTGCCCCGGTGCATGAACAGAGTGGCCCTGGGGTTCGGTGCACGGGCCCTGGCATCAGAGAGCAGGGGCCCCCAAATCCAGGCGCTCGGGATCACCAGCCGCATTACTGTCCATGGGGTTAGCACCGGGGTCACTGCCCTGGGCAAACAGGGATGTGCGGGCAAACCTGGCCCGCGCCCGGTCCCCGGGAAGCCCTGGCGGCTGCCCGAACGGGGTATCGGGTGCCCGTGGGGAGCAGGCCGGTGCTGGGGCGCCTGAGCTTGTGAGCCCCCACTTATGGGAGTGCAGTGGGTTCGCAGACAAGAGGGCGAGCGTCGCCGCCCGTGCCACTGACCCCGCACCCACCGTTACTGTGGCGCCACCTCTAGGGAAAACGAGAAAGCCTTCTATACCAGAGCGTCCGGCTTCCTTCTGGTGCCCAGGGCCGCTGAGTCGGCCTCCCTGGCTCCCAGCCGCAGCGGCCCCAGGGCCTTCAGTCCATCCCGGAGCTCCTGGTTCTGTCGCGCGAGAGCGTCTATCTGGCTCTGGAGCTGGCGCTGAGCCGCGGCCCACCGGGACTCCTGGCTCCTGAACGCCTCGTGCAGCCGGGTCACCTGCTGCCGCAGCCGCTGGTTCCGGGGGGCACAGAGGGCACGGGGTGGGGGAGAGAAGGACAGACAAGCTCTCAGATGGCGCCGCTCCGCCGGCTCGCGAGCCTCTCCCGCAGCACCCTCCAGCCCGCTGCCACGGGAGACCCGGCATTTCTGAGAGGGGGTCGGGGCCCCCAGCAGCTGAGGACATAAATACGACTGTGACCCCCGATCCACTTTTATCGAGCAGCACCCCTTAGGAGCGACTCCGCATAATATAAGCTGTAAAGATGGTTTGTGAATTACTTTGTTTGCAAAAAGGGGCTGAGAACTGTCATCTCGTTCCTAATCTTACCCTGAGGGGGCAGCAGGCCAGGGAGTTGAGAGCCGGCGTTTGATTCGGACAGAGGATATCATCCTGGCTTCACCACTGCCCCCGTGTGACCTCAGGTGAGGCACCTCACCTCCCTGGGCCTCCGTTTCTTCTCCAAAATGATGCCAGAATGACCTCAGGCGGTTATTTTGAGAGCTGCGACCTGCGCCGAGTGTGGGGCTCCCAGAACAGAGGACGGGAGACTCAGAGCCAGGGCTGGCTGTCGCTCTGTATTCACTGCGTCCACTGTAGCGTCACACAGGCTTTCATCTTAGAGCACCCAACAGACGTTCACATAAAAGAGAAACTGGCTATTGGGCCAAACAAAGGAAATCTTTGTATGTAAGTATCCAGGTTGTGTTTGGGAAGGAAGGTGTCCATCTGCCTATGTGAGAAACGATTTAGCAGAAAACCTTACAATAAAGAAAATGAGACTAAAACTAAAAAAAATGGGGTGCCTGGGCGGCTCAGTCGGTTAAGCGTCTGCCTTCGGCTCAGGTCGTGATCCCAGGGTCCTGGGATCGAGCCCCGCAGCAGGCTCCCTGCTCAGTGGGAAGCCTGCTTCTCCCTCTCTTGCTCCCCCTGCCTGTGTTCTTCTTCTGTCAAATAAATAGATAAAATCTTTTAAAAAAAAAAAGCATTTTCTTCTCACAGAGATTGTCTCTGAAAAATAATTAGAAACACATTGCAAATTTATGATTAAAAGTGAAAATACCACAATTTATGAGAAGAAATTAGTGACTGCATTATTCTGTTTACTCTACAAACAGTGGGAAAGAAGCTGCATTTTCATTTTTAATTAAATTCATATCCTCCCCCAGGAATTATCTTAATAATGCCCACTTTGTGAAGACTGGCACAGTCCCAGGGACCTGGGACCCATGTTGGTCACTTTCCCACCGGGAGTCTGCACTCGGGCCTTGGGGTGGAGACGCAGGGCAGAGGCCAGGAGGGGGAGGGCGGTGAGCCTCCAGCGCAAAGCGGCGCGACCAGGCCGTCTGTAGGGGGCTCCCCGGCCATCTGGTGCGGCCCGGGCACGGGGGGGGGGGGGCAGACCCCCAGCCCCCAACAGGCGGACACATGTGCGGCAGGGCTTGGGGCCAGGAGCGCTGCTCTGATGCTTGCCCCGGGAAGGTGCAAGAGCGTCTTGCACACTCACGGCCCGGCTGCATCAGCCCCATGAGAACACTGCGTACTCAGCATCTGCCGTGTGAGAAACACTGGTGCCCGCTTCCCAAGTTCCCTGACGTAATTCTGAAACCAGCCTTTGAGGGAAGTGCTCTCCTCCTAGCGAACGGAGGCCCTGCAGGTCGGTCAGCAGCCCCAAGTCACAGACTCACAGGCCGAGGACTCTAAATTCACACAGAGAGGTCAACTCCAGAGCTGGTGTTTCCCTCCCGCTTCTTGGAAAGCGTTTGTCACTCTCTGGTGTGGTCTGTGAATCACTGTTTACGGTGTTCATTCACATTCTGTCTGCCGTCGATAGAACCATATAGGGTCCCCAAGAGCAGGGACTGGTGTGCTGCGCACTGATGCCTCCCAAGGGCAGACGAAGCTGACCTTGGGCGAGGGGCAGGAAGTAGCAGGAGAAGGGCCAGGGGCATCTCGGGCTCCGAGGTCACAGAGGGGCTGGATGTGCACTGCTGGTGAGGCGTCGGGGACGGAGGTGACCCCGGCTCGGGGCTCAGGGCTGGAGCAGCACCCCCTAGGAAGGGTTTCCGGCTCCCGCTGAGACAGTGTTGCTTGCAGTCATCACAAGACCCCCACCCCACGCTTCCCGGGCAATCGTGATCCGTGCTTTGGAAAGAGCTTTACACTGTCCACAGCCTGAATCTGGATCCTATTTGAGGAGACCCTCCGAAATGCCGCCTAACTCCCTGGGCCAGCGTTTCCAGCTGAATAGAAACTGTCCTCTGTCCCCCACCACGCGGCGTTGTGGGGTCACACAGGGCCTTCACCCTTGCTGGGGTCAGCCTGAGACTGTGTTGAGGCTCTGTTCACTCATTCATGTGTCTGTGTCCCCACGAGCCTCTGAGCTCCTCAGCTGCCCTGGGGAGTCAAATAACCCGAGACGTGGGGCCGCATCTGCTCTGTGCTGCTTTGCCAACATGCTTTGTCTTTATTATCACTGTGGAATCATAACAGCCCTTGCCGATTCCTGAGGATCCACCTCACAGGCTCAGGGTGGGTCTGGCGCTCAGAAAATCCAGTTACTGCCAGTGCTCCTGCACCGAATACCTCTGAATTCCCAGAAACACAAGAAAAACCTGTGTGCCTTTGAAATGGACTATTTTGTCAACCGTTCGGAAATTAGCTGAAGCCACAGCACTTTAAAGCCAGGGGACCAGCTTTCCCGTGGGACCCTTCATCTGACGCTGTGTTTCCAGGGTCAGTGGGGTTGTGATGGGAGGTAGGGTCTTGCACTGCGTGGCCGTGGCTGCTGGACACGTGGCACCCAGGGAGGGGGACATGTGGGGGCTTTCATGGAAGCCGGGTGGAGAGAAGTGGACCCTGCCCTCCAGGGTTGGGTGAGGAGGTTGAGGGCACACTCCAGAACTCTGGCCTCACGACTGAAGCCACGTGCACCTTCTAATTTTCCTCCAACCAAGTTCGCCCAGTCTCGCGCCTTCTCTTGGATTAGGGAAGTTGGCCGAGATCCTCAAGTCTCCTTACACTCCCCAGCCTGTCTCTCATCTACCAAGACACAGAGCTGCAGAAGGAGAAGAACCGTATGCCCCCCTAGAGGGCAGACAAGCATCAGTATCCATGCTAAAGCATCTGGCCAGAGGAGGAAGCGGGGGAGTCTCAATGCCAGTCTCAGGCACAGGATGCGGACCGCAGCAGGTGAGACTTAGGGACAAGCCCCTCCCGGTCCCCAGCAGGGCCGCTCACCAGCATCTGCTCAGCCCGGCCGTCCTCCCCGGAAAGCACGGCTATGTCCTCGGGGTCAGCCCCAGGCCCACCGCCCTCCTCCGGGCAGCCGGTCTCTGCAGGCTCCATGGGCTCCTCGGCAGTCAGCATCCTGCTGGGGAAGAAGGAGGCCATCGGGAGCGGCCTGGGCCCCCCACCCTCCACCGTGAAGGGAGCCCGAGAGACAGCTCTTTGTCACAGGCCTCTGTCCCTACAGTGACAAAACTGACCCCAGGAAAAGGTCATCTCAGGGCCAGGAGCCACAGACACAGGGGCCTGACCAGGCCACACATGGCTTCTCCTTGGCAACCGAGAGAAACCTCTTTAACTCCTAGAAAATGGGGCCCCAGCGCTGTGGCCAATGTGATCAGGGTTGTCTCACTGGGAAACCTGGGGACCCAGCTCCTTCACCCGGCCTTGCTGAGCAGTCCCCAGCCCGCCCCCCCACCCCAAAAAAAAATCCCAAACAGACCCATGTCCTGTGCTGAAAATACCGCTTTCCCAACAGCTCCAGGGGTGGAGTGGGGCCACTGGGGAGGCTGCCCTGCAGGCCTGGCTCCCAGAGAGGCCGGAAGCTGCCCCCACTGTGCTCCTGACACCTCCCCGAACATCTACAGAAGCGCCCATTTTCCTGCTCTTGCTCCGGCTCGTGGCTTTGAACCCGGAGACACAGGCCGGGGAGTGGCTTCTCCACCCGTGCCAGGAGACTCGCGGATTTCCTCTTCCTCTGCACGTGAGGGGGACAGGGTCTTTACTGAAACAAGGTTGAGGTCTGACCCAGAAGCAAATCAAAGACTTTCTGGCACACTGACAACTCTGGGGAGGGGGGTGGACTTGGGAAGACACCTCTGATTATAACAACACGGCCCCTGCGCATGAGTGGAATGCACCTGCTCACGCACTTCAGACTCGCGAGGATGAGCAATGTGACCACAGCGGCGTGGTCCAAAGCCTGTATCTCTTGACGAAAGACAGTCAGAGGTCCCAAGAGGAAAGACTAGTGAATAACCTGGTATTTCGGCCATTCAGTCCTCAGGTGAGTCGTCCTGAGGTCTCACTGGGAAGTCGGCTTGACTTCATCACCCTGAAGGAGGAGGCCCTTCTCCCCCACTTCTCTGACATAGGGGCGTCACGCCAGGTCCTCGATTCCTCACCCTTCAGCCCACCAGTGAGCAGCGGCCCCCCAGCTGCAGTCCTTCACTGTGTCCCCCACCCCATCTGGTTCTAACGGACTCCCTGCCTTAAAGGGGCATGCCCTTCCATGCTCCCCAGCTCGCCAGGAGGCCCGACGACTTCAGAAGCTTAGGTTGTAATTACGTACTTGCCAACACGTGATCCAAACACAGTAAGCTCGTCGTCCGTGGAAATGACCTACCCACACGGGCAATTAGAAATGGCAAAACCCCCTCCCAACTGGCCAGAAAAAGTGTGCCTAATATCAAGTTTTCAGTAGACGATATATAGTAAGAACTCATTTCTCTTAATGCATATTCTTGAAGAACTACCAACTGTAAAATGCGGCACCATCTAAATTAACTGCAGGATTTTGTGATAATGAAGACAATGAGGCAGTGGGAGCATCAATGTTCAGTGTTCCATGTTAACCGTCCTTTCTCATCGATGGTCCTGTGGACATAGTAATCACACATCGAGGAAGTCTGCCCACAAACGCTTCTACACCGTGCAAGACCCTGGATCTCCTGGCCACTGCCGTGCTGTGGGACGGGGGTCCAGCTGCGCTGGGGCCTGCTGGTGCTCCTCCCTGGATGGCTGCTAATCAGCCCCTGCTCTCCTGGACTGGCCTTTGTCGGCCGGGGTGGCCAAGTGCCCAGTGCTCTGTCTGATATCCAGGCTGTCCGTGGTATAGCCCTGGGATCCCCGGGACCCCTGGCCCGAAAGAAGAGTCCCCTGCAGAGCAACTCCAGCCACATGAAGCAGGATGTGCAGAGGAGCTCCTGGAGGCCTGACACGCCCTCGCTCAGTGGTTCTGGATGCACCTGCCGCTCTGTACATGCTGGGGAGGCCAGGAAGCCCACTGCGCTGGGGGAGCCCCAGAGCTCGGCGACGCACTGTCCACACGGACTCCCTCCCCATCCTTCGCAACCTTCAGATGCACAGAGGCCTTTATGGTAGACTCAGAGGTGTCCGATTACGTTTCGGCCTATCTGAACCTGCCATGACGTAGGTCCATTGACCAGCTCTGCCAGTGACATGTGTGCAATAGGCAATAAGCATTGATATCTTGAATGGATGGGGCAAAACTTGTAGGGCGGTCCCAAGTTATTCAAATACAAGATGGTGTAAAGCGCCTGCCTGCTCTAAACCTGACTTGGTGAGGTGCTGTAGGCTCTGCCAGCCCCAAAATACTTCCCCCAATTCAAAGGCAGAACACCTGACAGCATTTGTTCTTTCTGATCTTAGCCTCAGGATATGTGGTTTTGAGGTAAGAATTGTCGGTACTTGAGTGATGAATATATTTAATTCCCGAACAACGTTAACAACAGTAGATCCTCTGTGCATGTTCTTCAATAAAATAGTCAACTAAAGGCACGGAATGCACTTGCCCTGTGCCTTCACACATGAGGCACCTTCCCGAGAAGCCCCGGTGTGCGTGCAGGATCCAGGTGGGGGCCGGGGACAGTGGAGGTTGGGGGGCTGCCAGACACAAGCCTACGTCCATGGAGAAGGAGCATCGATTCCGGACACAGAGCTATGCGGCTCTCTCTTTTCTGGGCCCAACGTAACGACCCTTCTGTGTGTGTTGCCTGACCTCCCACGCTTTTCCTCTGGGAGAGTGGAGACACTTCACATCATATTCTACTTCAAATGCCTAAAGTTTCTCAGTTAGTATCACTTGAGTTTAGTCAACGCAAATTGAATAAGCCTGTTAGAACTTCTAGAAGAAAGAAAGTTTTATGTGAGCCCCAGTGAGGACAACTGCCTACGGTACACCATCTTCACAGAGGACAGAGAGCGCCAGGGCAAGAACAGTTCATACAGGGTTAGATGTGTTTTTTTCACCCGAAGCGTTACAAATCGTCATGATGAAGAACATTCCAGAAGGTTACAGACTTTATTTTATGCCTTTCGTATGTGCAAGGCTGCCTGGCTCTGATCTCATGGGAACTTAAAAGAGGTTTTACTCTTATCTTTCCATTTGAAATGTTTTCTTTTTAAAGGTTATTTGTCCACTAAATAGATGTACAATGTGTGCTCGGGGCAGAAACAGAGCCCATGCTTTGAAGTTTGGTCGAGTCGTTCTGACCTTGGGAAACGTTAAAGGACAGTGCCCCTGGGAGCCCAGCAGCAGGGCCCACAGGCATTAAAGCTGAAAATCTTTCTCTTATAAGTTTATTCTACCAAAAAACACAATAATAAAAAGCAATATGAGGGTTTGTGGTTTAAAAAAAAAGCTATAGAATCTAAATTAAATACGGGTGACTCTACAACCTGCCCTTGACCCTAGGCCTGGGCAAACCCAAGCTGGGACTTGTCCCAAACCCCTGGGGGCGCCGTAGGGGAAGCTGTGACACCATGGGACGAACTGAGAGGGCCCGCACGTCGTTGTCCACCCCAACAACCCCAGCCCCAAATGTGCAAGGATGGTCTAATTTCTTATCGTATTTCCAAGCAAACTTTGAAGTAAAAAAACCCCAAAAAGTAGGATAAACTGATAGAGAAGTGACTTGTGCCACTATTTCGGGGGGTGTTGGCAGCTGGGGCTTGCAGACAAAGCCCGGTGGTTCTCTTCAGAGCAGGCGCTACTGCATCGACGAGTAGAACCCAACGCAGCCACGGCCCTTCGGCCCCCGTCCCGGCGCGCGTCGGCCACGCTCAGGTCTGTGCTGTGGGCTCTGCCCTGGGAGCCTGTGGTGCAGACACACCGAAGGGGCAGCCAGGCTCCACTTCATCACACACAAAGCTGCCTTGGCCAACCATCCCCAGCAAGCACAGGGCACGGCGTGCTGACCGAACGTTCGACGAAACAGTCTGACGAGGGCGTCCGGGCCTCCTCACCACCCCTCCTCGGTCCTGCCAGGGTCAGCCCGGCCCACTTCTGGAGAAGCCAACCTCTTTGGCCAGGAAAGCCCCAAGACCTGGGGCCAGGAGGCCACGTGCCCGACCCAGAGAGGGGGCCAGTCCCCCCGGGGCTGCCTTGTTCCTCTTCGGCGGCTCTCTTTGGAGGTCAGAAGCTATTTACCCCCTCAGTGCACATACATGTTCTGGGTCAAACAAGGAGTGGTGGTCAGTACTTTCTGGTTAAGTTTCTCACGCTGCAGCCTCTTCCCTGTGTCTCCCCGATGTACACGTAGGTGCTGTGTGAGATGCTGAGTGCTCCCTGAGGGGTGCTTGGGTGGGACATGGTGTTCTGTCTGGGAGGGGAGCCCAAGCTGACCTCCCCGCCCTCCGCCCGGGGAAGGCCGCTTCTGTCTACCTGACCCCACCAGGGCCCCAGGACCACCCCGTGAGTGTCCAGGTGGGTCTCGCCTCAACCCATGGAGTTGGAGCACCTTGAAGTTTTTCTGTACTTCAAGGGTCTTTGGGGGTCTTTCGCCATTATCTGCAGCGGCTGGGGTGGTGACAGGACTCCGTGTCATGGGTCCTCTCTGCCCAGAATTTTGTCCACATCCTGAGGCTGCGTGCCCTCAGACCCACCCACCCGACCTTGGAAGCAGGTGCACCTGGGAGCCCTCCTCTTAGTGGTGCCCCAGGCTTGGCTGACTCTCCTCAGCTGCCGAGGTGTCTTGCCCGGGGTCGGGGGGGGGGGTCTCAGCTACTCTGTCTCTTGACCGAGGGTCTCAGCACGGATTGACCAGGCCGCTGTCTTCCCTGAGACTGCCCTGGATTCTCCTCCTGGGGCAAGTGCAGCTGAGGCCACTGGTCAGGGCCCGAGGGCACGAGGACATGCGTGAATTACCAAAGCAATATGGAGATTGTGACCCCCTACACCTAAGTTTACTCCCACGTTTGCCGAAGGTAATTACGTGAATGTGGATGGTAAAATGTCAGACGCTGCGCCGATGGAGGGACATTCGAAGAGCAGCACGGGCTCGTGCGCCGCATGGCCTGCGCCCCTCACTCCTCCGTTAGCACAGATTCACAGACGCTTGCACATTCTAGTGAAACATTTACAA